CTTAATTTTCTTACTGAAATGAGTCCTACATGTGGTTGCACATGTCTCAACTCCCAGCTAAGCCCAGGAGGTTTATCAAAAGTTCAATGTCATCATTAGCTACCTGGGAAGATCCTGCTTTGACATAAAGTAAAAAAAATTACTAGGGAAGCAGTTCAGTGATGATAAAAATGCTTGCCTAGTACTCGACATTTGACCCCCAGTACCACAAACAAAAACAAACCATAGGGTCCTACTGAAGAAGTACAAAGAAGCCTTACATCTAACATGTAGTTTGGGAGTCTTTGTCTTAAGAGATGCGGTTGAGAGCTGACCATGTCACTGTAGATCCATGGTTCTCAACCTGTGGGTGACGATATTTACATTACTATTCATAGCAGATACTTGTGTTATTTACCAGATATTTACATTACTATTCATAAGAGTAGCAAAATTACAGTTATAAAGTAGCGGTGAAAATAACTTTATGGTTTTAAGGTTGAGAACCATTAGCTCTAGATGCTCTCAAGGACCATTTAAACTGCCTTATTAAAGTAGAAACTGGATACACTTTAACACACTGGTATCTGAAAAATCTATGAGAACATTGGTTTGTGCAGGTCCCAGGGGTGCTGGCAGCAGGGATGGTGTACCCCCCCTTCGACAGCACCACAGACACACCCCAGCACTGCACTCCTTGGGTTTCTTCAGGTATGTATTTAAATGCACACACATCCACAAGCGTGTACGTGAGAACTTTCTTTTTGCTTCCTCTCTCACCTTTAGCAGCTTTGGGATACAATTTACCTTGTCCCTTTGCTTTGCCACATCTAAGAAGCAAGAAACCACAGGATATAGGTAGCAGGAGCAAGCAGTACCTGGGGGCAGAAAGGCTATCACAAGTTCATTTTGACGACTGCACAGCAGAGGCCCTCTCTGGAGGACTCAAGGACTGTATCCAGCACCGCGTATCCCAGATCCAAGGCCTCTTCTGCAGTGAGCTCTAGCCTATGACTTCCTTTTGCTGGTCAGCACACTCCAGCCCTCTGCCAGGCAAGCAGCCTCTGTGCACGGAGGCTCACGTCACTGCCATAGGAAAGGAACACTGGTGAGCACTTCCAAAGGACTGGAAAAGCCAGAGCCGAGGAAGCCGGGAGAGCAGGCTCAGAGCGTGTGGGAGGGAGCCTGGTCTCAAGAGTTTATTTAATGTGGGTCTGGACTCTAAAGCTCTACCTGAGAAAAGAAGAACTAGAAATAAAAACTCTTCTCAAAGATGGTGGAGGCACAGCCAGTCTCTTCTCCCTCTGCCCAGGGGAGACCAAAGTGCAACAAAGACCTTCTCTTTCAGGCTAGCAGGCCCCACGTGTGCTATAATCAGCTCCGTAGACACTGTGAGTAATGTCACCAGGTCTCTACAGAACCCCCCCTCTCCTCCGCATCAGATCTGTCAGCTACTCTAGAAGACAGCAGAACCAAATCCTGTGCTCTCGATGGGTAACAGGCCCCAAAAGTCATGGCCTGGCCATACCATTGAACACTCACACCATAAAGGACAACACTGTCTCCTGAAGTAGTAGACACGTGGAACAAAACCCTGCCCAGCATCCCATTCATGCCCTTCTTAAATGTTACTGTGGCGTGCACACATGCAAATCCACAGAGGACGACTGGAGAGGCGCACAGTGCAGGATGCCATACACAGCTGGGAGATGGTTCTCTGTGCTACTTGTAAAGGTTCCTAAGAAGCCACTGGCAGTCTGGGGACTAGGGAAGGACCATTGGTATAGGCATGTTCCTGAACAAAGGGCTGCCCACCAAGAGGCTTGGCTCTACCCTGGGTAGAAGAAGTCCTGCCCAAGCCATCCTCTGCTCAGACAAATTGTCTGGGCAGTTATGTCAGGGAGTACCAGTGGGAAGAGGGGCCAGCAACATCTTGGAAAGGAGGCTCTGAGGTCAGAGTGCACTTTGCAGGGAGGAGGCTGAAATACACTGTCCAAGAACTCCATGCAAGATCAAATCCCCACTTCAGTGGGGAAGGATAATTTTGCAGGCTAACCCCTACCAGTGAATTAATTCAGGAAACAGGTGAGATGGATCTTATTCTACTTTTCCATCCCCACTCCAACCACAAACCTTACTCCTGCCTCCAGGGAAGGTCTATGCCCAACACTGTGCTTACCTTCCTCTGGGTGCCCTGGGGGCCGCTAAATAGCCCTGCCAGCTCAGGGAGCATACAAAGACTCTATGTGCTACAAGGATAAAAACATGAAACAATTCTTAATGGGAACAAAGAAGCAGTAGGGATCTATTCGGGGTAGGAGTCTCCAGATGCAGGAGGCTTGCTGCTCAATGGAGTAGATTTTCTGACGTCCTCCATTTCCACCTCAAATTCCTTGGCCTCCAAAACCACCTGCTCCTGGCCTTGCTGCTCCTCCCAAAGTAAGATTAGCAAACCTCCCAAGTAAGGGCTGAGCGGTTCCAATTACATAAACAAGTGGCTTGGATTGTGGCATTTGCCAGAACATCAACTCCTGAGTTGGGAGAAGCAGGGGTCCACAGGACTTAGGGAGCTAAGCAAGAGGGGCAGGCAGCTCTTTGCAAACAACTGTACAGGCGTCCACATCAAAGGAAAGCCCTGGCTAGGGACCCTTGCCCTTCCCAAAGGCACTAAACATACAGCCCCCACACCACCTTTCCGGGTGGTCATGGCACGTGTCACCAAACCACGGCGAGGTTTGGGAACAGCTACATACCACAGAGCGGCTGGCTACCTGTTACCTAAGGTAGCTATAATAATCACTCCTGCCAAAAACTATTATTGGGTATTGGGGCGGAGTTAATGTGGCATGGCCTCAGTCAGCCGCTGCCCGCTGTGACCCAAACCAAACCACAACCACCCCAGAACCAAAGCCTACGTGGAAGGCCCTGGGACCACCTTGCTGGATCCTCCCTTCTGTACCCAACACACTCTGCATTTAAGCACAGTAAGGTAGGCAATGGCTTCCCAGAGGTTGAACCAGACTCCACCCAGAGGCAAGCATTTGAGAGATGCAACTATCCTCATGGACTCACCTGGGTACCAAATAAAACGCAGCCTAGACTTCCAAACCCCCGCTCTCTAGAGGGTCTAGAACCCTACGGTCACCGAAGGTGCGCCTCCCCCTAATCTCAGCACCCAAGGAGAGCGGCCCCGGCTGCCTACCCTTGGTCTATAGCACACTATTGACACTCAAAAGAAGGCCGGCTCTAGCCTCTTCTACCTGCTCTGAGCTTCCTGGCGCTCCGGAGAGAATGGTTCCCTCCCACTAAGGAAGGCGCGGTCCTCAGCGCCCCCAAACGTTTTCTAAACGCCAACTGAGACAGAAAGGATAAGCGAGGCAACCAGGAAAACATCTTGGACCCAACCCGCCCACGACAGCCAGCCCCTCCCTTCAGAAAAGCCCTCTGCATTTCACCAGATCTGCAAGTGGGAAGTCACGGTGAAATATTCTGCACCAAGATTTCTCAATCCGATAGTTGGTGGCCGAACACCCCAAACCCCACCCAGCACTCTTGGTTCATCAGGTTCTGAACCCCGCTCTGCTCCTCCCCCACGGCCACACCCACCCCGGCGGCCGCTTTTCCTAGCACTACTGGGAGCCCTACACAAACCCCACCCACCTCCTGGGCTCGCACACCAGTAATTTTGACTCTGAATGCCTGGAAATGGCCCGGCCTTCATTCAATCCCGTCACCTGCCATGCGGTTTGAGCGGTCAAAGCCTAGAGCTGGGACCAACCATCCCACCCCCGCCTCTGCGGTAAAAGTTCGCCTGGGAACCCCTAGCTTAGAAGTAGGCAGAGCTCGGGCACGCCCCGTTACGGGTGTGTGGCCAAAAAGGCCTTGCGCTCCAGCCCCCACAGCTTCAGTGTTTTCCCGTGCTTTTTGGTCAGCCGCTCAACTGTTTTGACAACAAAAAAAAGTACAGCCCCTGGTAACAAAGCAACGGAACTAAGTGTTTTTGCAGTGAACTTGCCTCAAGGCTGTAAAAATAAAAGCTGTAAAAAAAAGAGTTAAGTGTTACAGAAGAGTTTCCGTGAGCTTAAAGGAAATGCAGTTAAAGGTTTGCACCGCTGTGTTAAAGCCAAACACAAGGGGAAGGGCTTCCATATATATGAATCAACTACCAAGAGTCGGGCCCCAGCGCGGCGAAGCGATGCCCGGGAACCACAGAACCGAGTGACCCTACGCCACCCCAGGTTACAGGCTCTGACCGGCCGCCCTGGTACAGGTGCCACCGTCAGTCCAGGAGCAGGTGAAAGTTGGACCAGAAAGGGCAGTGAAGAGATCGCGTCTTCGTAGAGAAAGCACAGCCCCCCTGCGACCAGGCGCGCCCCCGCCGGCCGGATGGGCTGGGGCGCCTACAAAGAGCCGCGGGTGGGGAGCGAGGACTGGGACCGCCCCCCGCGGCGGCCAGGGCCGCCGCTGGGTCGGGTTGCGACAAATTAAACCTTAGAGCGCTGGAAAAATTACAGGAAGAAGAGAGCGAAGAATGTGCCGAGTGGCTGAAGGGATCCCTGTCCCCGGGTGAACTTCGCCCGCGCGGGCCGGCCCCTCCCTAGCCAGAGAGTACCCGGAGGCTTGGGGAGAGGATGGCGAGGCTCCAGCCCCGGGAGCACCCACGCCCCAATCGTGGCGCGCCGCCCCCCAATCCCCCCACCCCCCGCAACCTCGAGCGCACCTGCCCGCGCCGCCCGCAGCCCGGGATGACGACATACACCCCGCGGCCCCGCCCCAAGAACCCGGGAGGGGGCGTGCCCGATGGGGGCGCGGTCGCCGAGAGGGCGCCGGCTCCGAGCGCCCCAGCCGGCCAGCGTCACGCGAGGCCAGAGCACCAGGGCAGGGGCGCGGCCGCGATCGCCCTCAGCTCACGGCTCCCCGCCCCCGGCCCCTCTCGCGCTGGGCCGAGAGCTCTGGGGGCGTGGCTGTCCCCGAGCAGTCCCTAGTCCGCTCGTTCGCGGCGTTCGTGCTGCCCCACTGACCTGTGTGAGTTCTCAGGTGCGCCTTGAGGTGCGAAGATTTCCCGTAAACTTTCTCGCAGCCCGCGTAGTGGCACTTGTGCTTCCTCTGCGGGGACTCGAGGTCCGCGCGACTCCGGCCCCGCCGACCCCTTTGTCTGAGGCCGGGCTCGCCGCTCCCCGCGGGGCCGGGCTCCGGCTCCAGAGCCGCCTCGGGCTCGCTCCACGCGGGGCTGGGGGGCGCGGCCGGCGCGCCTGCTTGTCCGGGGGAGGCGGGCTCTGGGGCGGGCGGTGGCGCAGGGGGCGCGGGCGGCAGGCGGCAGGGGGTCCTCGCCTTGCGCGCAGCGGCCCCTTCTCGGCGTTCCGCGGGGGCGGGCGCCGGTGCCTGCTGGTTGAGGTCCGCTAGGATCCGCGCCACCACGAAAAGCGAGGCGCTGTCCTTGCCGTCGCAGCGCTCGTCAACGCGGGGCAGTGTGGGGGCGGCGGCGGCCGCGCCCTCGGGCCGGGGCTCAGGCCCTTCCCGCGGCTCGTGCACGACTGCGCGGCTGGACATAGACACGAGGCACTCGGCGGCAAAGTGATCCACATAGGCGGCGGCTGCCATGCTGTGGGCTCGGGCGCGCGGTGCTCTCGCAGGAGTCGTCAGCGGCGCATCCGCACCCACGGCCTCCGGAGAGCGGCGGGGGGCGGGGGCGCGGCGCGCCCTCTTCTCCGGCTGGGCTGGGCTAGGCTGGGCGCGCAGCCGCTTCTGCCGTCACCCGCGCGGCTCCGCGTCCGCCTGGTCGGGTACTGGAGGGTAAGCGCATGGGGGGCTCCGACGAAGAGGGTCCGCGTGCGGCGTCAGGGCCGGCTTGTCTCATGGATGTCGAGCGGCGATGTTAAGCGCGACCCCTGCAAGTTGCGGTTGTAGTTCCACCGTGCATTGTGGCAGGCGGGACAGCCTCCGTGCGCGCCGCGGCTCGGTGTGGGCGGACCGGCCCCGGGGGTGGGCGGGGCCGGGGCCACATCTGGACCCGACGTCAGCCCCCAGCCACATCCTGGCGGCGCAGGTTACAGGCGGCAGCGGCCGCAGGGAGCAGCGCGCACGAAGGGGGCGGGGAGCCTGGAGCGCGCACCAGAGGGACGGTGCGGTCGCGCGCCCGCGCCTTGGGAGGGGCGTGGCCGGCGGCATACGCGATCACCATTGGCTGTTGAGTACTCTATCTCGCCAATCCGGGCCTCCAGAGGGCCCTACTGGCCGCGGACCTGCGCGCGCCAGTGGGCGTGCCCCTGAACCGGCAGGAGGAGGGGCGGAAATCGGAGCCCAGCGCGGGGCACGGTGACGCACGACGTTCGAGGGTGGCGGGCCACGGTGTAGCGGCGCAGGGCTGGGGCGCGTGCCTCCCGCAGCGGGAACCCCGCCGGGCCTTTCCATGCCAGAGTTTTTTGTGCGCAGGCAGCCGTGGGTGGCGCGAGGATGGCAAGGCTGCGGAGGGCACCCTGTGGTCGCTCCGCCCGCTAGGAGCGCGAGGGAGGTGGTGTGCCGGTCTCGCCGGGACCCAGGCGGCCGGCCTCGCCTATGGGCGGGACACTGCCCCTCCTCACCCCACCGCAGCGTTCTCGGGTGGCTGGGCTTGTGTTGCAGCCTCCGGCCACCTCCACACTCTGCCCCTATCGAGCTCCAGACCTCGGCGCAACCCAGGCGGGATCCAAGTCACCACCCGGGCCGCCCCGCCCCCGCGCGGCCGCGCTGCCCTTGAGCCTATGTTAACCTGGCTGGTGCAGGGCCCACTACTGCCAGTGCTGAGAGAGTGAGCTACGTGCTGGGGCTGCGGTCGCGGCTGTTCAAGGAACGCGGGGCCCCTTCCTCCCCCTTCCTGCCCCAGGCCTGCTGCCAACTCCTCCAGGCCGCCCCTCTCCCACCGCGGTCGTGGAGGCTTCAAACACCACCAGCTGCGAGGACCCCGCCCAGGGCGCCCCACCCATCCACTGTCTGGGCCTCTAAAGGAAATGCTCAGCTGCGCCCCGCCGGGTCCTTCCAACCAGGCCACCTTGCTCTAAAGTTAGACACACACATTCATATTCTTTCTCTCGGAATACGCTAGGCCGTCATCGAGAGAGACGATAGCTTCCTACTGCCTTTGAACCGATCTTAATGCACTTTTCGGGAGCTGGTCACAGCTGGTCTCTGACCTGTGAAAACAGGGTCAGCAGCCTCTGCTTTTTCATTGTGGGTGGTGCCAAACACGTAATTCACCAGCAAGTCTGGGAGGCCGTCCGATGGTCCACCCTAGTGGACTAAAGCAGAGACAGTCACCTCACTGGCAAAATGAAGAACCATGGTTCTGACTTCAAGTTCTTTTACTTATGTTAATCACGGGAAACTGAGCAATTAGGGATTTTCAGTTGTGAAACTAATATTAACCTCTGAGCACCCCCCGAGTGCTACCACATCACATACCCTCAATTTCCTCACCATTGGGCTGCTGTCTCGTGGAGAAGCTGGATCAAGGCTCTGTAGGAGGGTCTCGACTTGGCAGAAAGTCGTCATCTTTGTTCCAGGCAGATTGTGTTGATGACATTTAAGAGACTGTGTCCTGACCAAGTGATGACTCAGAATGTTCCTCTGTTCCCACCACATGCCACAGGCAGTCATTTCATTGGGAAAGAGCTGGCCCCTACACCGCCTTTCCGACCATGTGTTCTTTCCTGACCCTCTGCAACCAGGGGAATTCTGCAGTTTAGTGCTGTCCTTGTGGCTTCTACCTGCACTGGTGAACCTTCCTAGGAATGCACTATTATGGGCGTTGGAGTCCTAGGCATAGGCTTCTTTGGTAGCTTGAGTCAATGGACCGTTGCTCTGATGCTCCCCATCCAAGCTTCCTTTTGATAGTGGCCTCCCAAAGGGTTTCCCCTTGTGCACGCGGGGCATTTTAGGGACAACAGTCAGCATCCCTAATGATTTTTGAAAAGTTCACTCACCGAGAACATAATGATTGGAGTCTCAAGCCTGGCGTTTCTTGTCCCAGGCACAGATGGAAATATCCTAGGGGTACAGTTCTGCTCTCCAGTGAACAGCTCATAACTATGGGCCCATGTTTCCTTACTAGCAAGATTTTGACAACAATGGCATCCATAGGTAAGTGAGAGTAAGAGTAGTTCTTTTTAGCTGGAAATGAGGGGGGAAATACAACAGGTTGGACCGAGTGAGAGAGTCATGAAAATACTAAAGATGGGTGAGGTTATGGGGTGGAGGTGGTAGTTGCATCGATTTGAACTGCCATTCGGAGCCTCTGAAACAATCCCAACTAGAAGACAAAAATCTCTACTATGAGACAAAGATGAACAAGGACAGAAACAGGAGAGGGAGCAGCAGCAGGCAGTAAAGCTAAAACGTCCCCGCAGACTCACGAAAATGAAAGCCTGAAATAGGAAGGCAAGTTTCCTCAGAAGGTTTGCAAATGGTGGCGCTAGGCACCTCTGGATGTGGAAGGGAAGGGGCTTTGAAATAAGAATGGCTGCCCAAGAGTCTTTTCCCAGAGATGCTCAGATGCCCTGTGCTGTCTTACAGCAGCCCCCTTCCTCTAAGGAGAAGCTGTGTCTATCTAAAGACAAGTCCTCGAACACAGTGGCGGAGGCAGTGGCACAATACTGGGGCCAGGATTAAGTGCGCATGTGTCTACTGACATCTACAAGCCCCTTTCAGGGATTCAGTGGCACAGGGAGCCAGGAGCCTAGGAGAGGTTTTTGGGCTGAACAAGCCAGGCCAATGGGAACCCTCAGCACATTTTCAAATCCATAGCTGCTCAAATGTCCAATTAACATACTACGGAGAAGGCCACACTGAAAGATGCCACTTGGCACAGAACTTCTTCTGATCGATCTCAGACCTTCCCAGACAAATAGGAGAGGGCAGATAAGCTGACCAGACCTGTCAAGAAAGCCTGCATCAGGGAATGCAAGCCTCAGTACGTTTTTGTTTTGCTTTTTGTTTGTTTTTAAGGTAAGTTATAGGAAACAACCATGGAGAGAGAGAGGTAAACATCAACAAAACTACCAATAATATCAATAGAGAAGTGTAAAAGGATATCACAATCTACAAAAGGGAAGTAAGTGTGAGGACATAGTAGTGAGTAAAAGAAAGCGTTCTTGGAGCTTTAAAAGAAAGTAGCAAACATATAAATGGCCAAGTCTTCAGACTGGGAGAGAGCATTAACCAGAAAGAATTCACAGAAACATAAAGTGGACAGAAGAGAAGGGAAAAGGTCTCTAAAACTGTGAGCCAAAATAACTGTTTTCTGGGTGGGGCAGTAGTGGCACAGGTCAGAGACAGAGGCAGACAGATCTCTGTGAGTTCAAGGCCAGCCTGGTCTACAGAGTGAGTTCCAGGGCGATCAGAGCTACACAGAGAGTTCCTGTCTTGAAAAAACAAACCAAAGCCAAAACTATTTCCTGTTTTGCAATTCATCCCAGATATTGTTATGGCAACAAAGCTAACACACTATTTTACATCAGTCTTTAAGTAGGAATATACACTGATTAGAGTAACAGATACAAGTTGTTTCTGTGCTATGCCTTTGCTTTTTGTACCAACACCCCAGGTAAGTAATTCATTACTCTGTGATCATTGCCACAGTTGGCACGTTGGAAGTGGTAGGACTCTGTTAGGGAGTCCTTCAGGGATCATGGTGGTGTATGTTGTCTCTAACAGACAGAAACGCCATTACACAGCCTGACTGCATTTTTAGGTGCAAGTGGTTTCAAAAAGTTTCCTTCCCCTTTACGGGGAAATGGATCCTTTCTCATGAAAGGAGCTACCTGAGGTCATGAGTCACCAAAATGAGAAGGACGAGAAAAGGGCATATGATCTGGGAAGCAAGGCATTAGACAGAGGGTAGAGAGGAGAGGAAGCTCCAGCCCAGGAGCTGCCCTGATGCTTGCTCGAAAGCTTGGAGTGGCAGCATCCTCCACCAGTCAGAAGGGCCCGGCTGTGCTGCAGATCTCTGTTTCTGGCATATTGCACATCCATCAGGAGGTGCCTGTGATCAGCAGGTGGATGGAACAGCCTCTGTCTGCAGTGTGCTGGTTGCCATGGCAGAGGGAAGGGAGGAATGTTAACCTTGCTGTGTCACTTACCTCCTCTCCCTACATAAACTACAGCTCCTCTCTGGGTGGCCTCACCCAATCTGAAGTGCCTTTTTAATCTGGAATGGAAGGAATTCACTGAGACACATTGTACGGCCTGCAGTTTAAAGCCCAGCACCGCTGTAGGATGATCTGATTTCTTCATATAGCCCATGTGGTTCCTCGTGGTCAAGAGGCCTATAATTTAAAAGAATGTTGTCAGTACCCCACCCCTCACTATCTTATAGGTGGTATTAAGAAATGACAGAACTGCCGGGCGTTGGTGGCACACGCCTTTAATCCCAGCACTTGGGTGGCAGAGGCAGGCGGATCTCTGTGAGTTCAAGGCCAGCCTGGTCTACAGAGCTAGTTCCACGACAGGCTCCAAAGCTACAGAGAAACCCTGTCTTGAAAAACAAACAAAAACAAAACAAAAAGGCAGAGCCTTTAATAGGTGGGACCTAAGTGTGGGTAGGTAGGTCCATGAGAGCACCAACCTCAGAACGGGTGAATGCTGTTTTCTGGGAATGTATGAGTGCCCACAAAAATGAGTTGTTGTGGGGCTATATGTGGCCCTTTCTTTTTTCCTTTTTTTTTCAAGACAAGATTTCTCTGTGTAACAGCCCTGGCTGTCCTGGTACTCACTCTGTAGACCAGGCTGGTCTCGAACTCAAAGAGATCCACCTGTGTCTGTTTCCCGAGTGCTGGGATTAAAGGCGTGTGCCACCTGGCTCACTTGTGGCTCTTGCAGAAGACTCAGTTTCCCTTCCTAGCACCCACATGGTTGCTCAGAACCACCCATGATTCCAGTTCCATGGGATCTGACCCCTTCTTTTGACTTCCAAGGGCACTAGGCCTGCACTTAGAACACAAACATACATACAGGGGAAACACATAAAAGAAATCTCTCTAAAAAGACTTGTTAAAAGAAGAGTGAACCTAAATTTCAAATGGCTCCAACTTCTTGTCTTCTCCACACACTGAGACATAGCCATG